CTCACCCTCAGTGACTCTCACCCTCAGTGACTCTCACCCTCAGTGACCCTCATCCTCAATAACTCTCACTGTCCCTTGTCCTCACCTTCCTCATCCTCAGTGACCCTCACCCTCCCTCATCCTCAGTGACTCTCACCTTCCCTCACCCTCACACTCCCTCAACCTCAGTGACTCTCACCCTCCCTCACTCACCCTCACCCTCCCTCACTCTCCCTCACTTGCCCTCATCCTCACCCGCCCTCACCCTCAGTGTCTCTCACTATCACCCTGCCTCACCCTCAGGGACTCTCACCTTCCCTCACCCTCAGTAACCCTCACCATCAGTGATCCTCAACCTCAGTGACCCTCCCTCACTCGCCCTCACCCTGCCTCACCCTCAGTGACCCTCACCTTCCCTCACCCTCACCCTCAGTGACTCTCACCCTCCCTCACCCTCACCCTCACCCTGCCTCATCCTCAGTGACCCTCACACTTTCTCATCCTCAGTGACTCTCACCTTCCCTCAGCCGCAGTGACTCTCACCCTCCCTCACCCGCAGTGACCCTCACCCTCCCCTCATCCTCAGTGACTGTCACCCGCCCTTGCCCTCACCCGCCCTTGCCCTCACCCTCGCCCTCACCCTCCATCGTCCTCGCCCTCGCCCTCCCTCTCGCCCTCACCCTCGCCCTCCCTCGCCATTGCCCTCACCCTCACTTGCCGTCACCCTCGCCCTTGCCCGCTGTCACCCTTGCCCTCGCCCTCGCCATTGCCATCGCCCTTACCCTCGCCCACCATCACCCTCACCCTCGCTCTCGCCATCGCCCTCACCCGCCATCGCCCTCACCCTCCCTCGATCTCGCCCTCACCCTCACTTGCTGTCACCCTCGCCCTTGCCCGCTGTCACCCTCGCCCTCGCCCTCACCCTCGCCATTGCCATCGCCCTTACCCTCGCCCACCATCACCCTCACCCTCGCTCTCGCCATCGCCCTCCCACGCCATCACCCTCACCTTCCCTCGATCTCGCCCTCACCCTCACTCGCCGTCACCCTCACCCTCGCCCTCATCAGCTGTCACCCTCACCCTCCCTCGCCCTCACCCTCACTCACCGTCACCCTCACCCTCACCCTCGCCCTTGCCCTCCCTCGATCTCGCCCTCACTCGCCATCACCCTCGCCATCGCCCTCAC